GTTCATCCCAGCATGGACTTACTGCTCTCTTCGCTATCACGGCAGTGCTTACCAAGTACTTTTACTCAATTAGCAGCGACGCGGCCTATCCTAGTGCCACCACTTTCGCCGGAGCTGGCGAAAAATCGGCGAGCAACTGTACGGTAATCAGGACAGCGCTCTTACCACAACCACTTGGCCTAAGCCATAATTAAAAGGTAAATAAACGACCATCGCAATACTACGCGCATTCGCGGAAGGTGTTAGTGATTATTATGTCACACCTTATTTTAGCTAAAGATTCCTGAAATTTATGTTCAAATTTTTCTATTTCATCCGCAACCACCTATCTTACTATCGATATTAATGTTCAATATTTCTATGCTCGTGCTTTCCAGGTTGAGCAGCATTCGTTTATGCAATACCTGCGCTGCCTAGAAAGAAAAACTATCGAATTCCACGAATAATAGCTATTACTCGTCAGCCAAGTAGCGTGCCACGCAGGCATATTGCAAGATGATTTTGGACAAATTGTGATTTTATTGTGATAAAAATTGAAATTAAATCACGTTAATAAATTGCAATAAAGTCGCAAGTTTATTGCAATTTTTTATGGGACTGGGACAAAATTTGGAGTTAAATTGCGTAGGTAATTGCTAAAAAACAAAAACAAGAAACAAAAAAAATTAACGGACTCATGTAAGGGCTGTTGCTTGGTTGACCGAGATTTTACAAGCGAGTGTGATGATTCGAGGAAAATCTAATTTTTATTTCAAATTTTGTCTTGGAAAACTGATTTTTTTTACAATTTGATTGCGAAAATTCGGCCGATAGTAGTAGAAAAATTGCAATAAAAATTCAAAAATGGCAAAATTCTCTCGCAATCCAGTTGCAACTCATTGACTGAAGTATGCTACTTTAGAGCAGTCAGTAAATTCGTTATCATTCTCGATTTTTTGTAGGGAATTAAAAACTACGTTACGCTACGCGTTAAATTTTCTTTTCCGTCCTCTAGATGTCACCTTAAACCCCGAACGTAGCGCTTGATCGGTCCTAATATTTATATAGGGATAAAGGTGCAGGAGAGATTTAGCGACGAGAGATTTAGTAAACTCGTGCGATTTAACGTGATTACGGAGCTCAATACTGAGGAGGGTTTGACAGTGTCTCTTTCCTTCAGGAAATTCTGAATACAAAATTTAAATTCATTTATTTTTGAAAGGACGCAGAGACGTTTGCCCAGGTGCCAGCATCTATAGAAAATGCTAAATCCAACCCGTGCGGGCACATAAATGAATGTTATTTCCAAAGAGCTCGTAATAGATTAACTTTAATTAAAAGAGGTGGGAAGACTGCATCAGGTGATGGACCGCCGTCTGTTATTTCCGCCTGCGTCATTAGACAGAGAGAAAGACTCGTAGGACTTAAACTCACTCGGCAATATGAGCCTATAAAAAATGCGATTAAGATCACAATGTCAAGTGCACACACTGCATTACCTCGCCATAGCCACAGCGTGAGCCGGCCGCTAATTAAACCGCGTATAGGAGGTAAGAGGATGTTGTCGGGGTGTTGCTCTACTTTTCGGGAACAAAAGTAGCGATTTGCATTAATTAATTTAGCGAAAATAGGCACATTTAAGGCATCGCCTTTCCACCATTGCTTTACTTCCGTTATCCAGGACGGATCGAGCTCTCCCTAGTAGCCTCGTTCATTGAGACTCGGGAAAAATTTATTTGCACTCATCGCCAAACCATCCATTCTGTCGAAAATTTATCAGGAGTAAAGATAATATGGTTTTTTTCCGTGTTTTAAAAATAGTTGACTCGGCTCATTTATGATTACCTCAATTTTATTTCCTCAGAGTGAGTCCTATTTGCATAATTTTGTAATTTTGTAAAAAAAAAGAAAAAAAAAAAAAGGATATGTGACGTCGGGAACCGACCAAATGTTTTTTCGCGCAACGAAAATCATTGAAATCAACTCCTAACTAACATATTAACGTTTTTAGTTTAAATTACTAACGGGAATTTTGAACTCCCAGCTCACAAGAAAAACAATAGTCTACTTGAATCGAGTTGCGCACTGCAACGGTTTCGGCGGGATTTTTAATCGAGCAATGTTCCTTCCTCGCCTTGTGTTGTTTTAAGTGTAGAAAACTTACAAAAGCTGAGCCGAAGCACCGAGTGCGAGGTTGCCATATTTTCATACCACTAAGTTACGGTAATGTTTAGTGCGCGATTTGACCAACGTGCGATATGGACTTTTGTTTTTTCAAGAGCAGGAGGTTTTGGTTTACGCATCATAAAACGTTAAATACCTTAGTTTGGATGTGATGTCAATAATTCTCGTTACGAAAATCGTTTGATACGTGAAATTTTGATGAGAAATTTTACCTAATGATACTTATTTTCGCATCTTGATCTTGACTAGTAGCCGTTGAACGTCTGTAACGGATGCGCGCTACAGATTTGGAGACTTTAACGCACGGTAAAGAAAGTAAGCAGCAATTGCACAGCAAGTATTAAGATAGCCTTCAAACTTGGGCTCATTGAATGTGTGGTTTTACGTTCTGAGAATCCGACTTATTTCTGTGAAGTCTTCGGTGTACCGGTCCACCACTATATTAAATGAATGAAGGACGCGATATTACAACACGCACCAAGCTTTCGTTTTTCCACCAGCGGGAGATTTGAGCTTACGCATTGAACAAATTAAATATCTAAGTCAGAGTTGATTTTTGTTTCTGAAATCGTATTCTACGGGAAATTTGAAAAAGGAACACGTGTGAAAACGTTTAAAGTTGTGCCTTGTCAGGTGTTTATATACACGTTTTAAGGACGTCGCTTTAGCAACTGCGCGTTGCGGTGAAGCAGGTTGGCGAAACTTAGAACTCTTAAAGTCAGGAATCGATGGTTGGCGGTGGGTAGGTCAGATCCTGGATTAGTGGGTCAGCCAAGAGTTCAGCGGCTTCGTGGCGCGAAGCTGACGCCGGTGTCGCCGCAGCGCGCAGCGCGTCGCGTCGCGCCGTCTTGGGCTCTTGGCTTTGGCCATGGCAATGGCGGCCTCTGGGCTCGTCCGCTCAGTCCGCCGACTTGGCGCAGGAGCGTCTCGGTCAAGGTTCACCGAGACTTGGATGCTTCGGCTCGGAGCCGCTGAAACTATGCTACAGTGCTAAGAAAAAACGCCGTATGAACCTCCAGGCGTTGCCAAATTTCCTTTGATAAAACACGAATTTCCTGTTCATTTTATGAATATTTTCTTTCGAATTTTTCAGATACTTTTGCCCGCAATTTCAACTAAAGTCCCTGAAAATGTCAAAGAAAAATATTCATAACTTTCCTCAAAAATGAACATTTTATCTGGGAAAATTTGGCAACTCTCGAATGTTCATAAGGCGTTCTTCCTTTAGCACGGGAGTATGCATGCGTCCACTTTCAATTTTGTGCCCTCCGCGACTCCGCGTGAGGAAGCTCTTCCGAGGGAGTCATAGAGGAGAATTGAAAAAAGGCGGACCACTATTAGATTTGGATAGACCAATGGTCTCAAAACTGGAAAAAACTTCGACCATCGAACCCGTACTCACGGGCTATACGGACATACCGTCCGCATTCCGGGCTGAGAAGCCGAAAGTTCCGGGTGTAGCACCCGGGGCAGTCGAAGCTGCGACTCCAGCACCCGGAACTTTCGTCCTCTGAGCTCGGAGCGGACGGTATGTCTATATAGCCCGTAACTTTTATTTTCAGTGAAAGTTTAGGAACTACTTTCAACCTCCACAACTTGTGACTCGTAGGAAATTTAGAAAATATGTTAGTCGGAGAATAGGATTTTTGGCTGTTCTAAGTACTGATAATGTTACCCTCGCAAAAATTCATATACAGAGGTAGTAGTGCAACTAGGAGAGAGTAAAGGAAGGTGTCCCATTTTCCTCTTCATTTTAAGGGTGACCTTTTTTCCGGGCAATTCGGATCGATTTCGATCTATTATAAGATTATGTATGAGATTTTTGCAAGTTTGCCTCCTTCGAACAACTCTTGCCCCCCTTCCCACATCTTTGCTAGAATTACGCCCTTGTGAGAAGGTAACATTTTTTCTAGTGTTTTCGAAATTAGGTGGGTTTTGATAAGGTTAGGACTTTCCTACTCGAGGAGGCTTTATGCGCTTTTTTTAGTATTTTTCTAATGACTAAAATAGAGTCTTTAAAAAGAGTAGTAGGTATTCTAAGAGTTTAGCGTTTCTATGATAATGAGTTAATCTTAATGAGGACTAAGTTCCTGTTGAAATTATATGTCATATATTTTCTCTATTTTCATAAAAGAAAAGCAAGTCTCAACATGAGCCATAAAGATATTATGCGACTCATTTATGAGCAAAATTGACTACAATACCAACAATATCAATAAGGTATTTCAGCCGACACGCGACGCAAGCAATGCCCATTCGTGCTCTATGGATGTCCGTGTTGCGTACGGCGCTATTGAAGGCGCTCTAATTTCCTTGTTCTCAAAGTGACTTGCACTGCACATTGGCTCAGCTCACATTGGAGAGTTGCTGCCGTGGCACTCTTTCGATGTTTGAGGCTCTTTAAGGGAATAGACAGACGAGAGGTCGCAAAATTCTTCTTGAAAACCTCTGGAGAATTTTAGAAACTCTTGCAAATGCAACGAGTAGGATTTTCGGTCTTTTAAATGTATAACTACATGCAATATTGACAAAGTAAGTCGGCAATCACCCAACTCGGTTTGCAACGTCGCAGTCTTCCTGGCATACTTTATTTTTTAAACGAAAAACTACTCAACGGCAATTCTTTAAAACTGCCGTGATCTCTCTTCTCCGTGCGAAGAACATTCTGCAAAACTTGAAGGAATGATGTCAATTTGTTCTTCTTTTAAAAAAATAACATAGAGGCGGAGATTTTCAGCCACCGCAAACGAGATATGTGATTGCGGAATCACGCCGTCGATATGAAGATGTGTGTAGTTGAAGGACGAATCGTAATTAGTCAATTTTCTTTGTTGCAGGTCGTGGACACCACAAGAAGAAGAAGATCCAAAAGGAAATCAAGAAATTCGTGCTGAAAATCCTGATCGGTATCTTCCTGATCAAGCAGAAAATAAAAATGTTGTTAATGATGCTGCAGACGCTACTCATGTCCAAGTTCCTCATCGTGGCGACCATCTACGCACTGTCGAGTACGTTCAAGATCTGGTACGACATCAAGCACTCGAAACACGACAACAAAGTCATCTACTACGAGAATGCTCACCACCAACACCACTACGAGCCCCCAGACCACAGTGAGTACGAGGACCACCACGGCGGATGGGGCGGCATCTGGGGAAGGAGCATCGCGGTGACCGAGCCCAGCCAGATCATCGAACACGGAATTCACTATCCAAGGAGCTTTAGTCTCACTCAGTCCGATTACAGCCCTCAGTCCGCTCATGCCCTAGCTTACTCACAACAAAAGCCCAGCTAGTTCCTAGCTAGCTCTCAAACCATCTCTCCCCCGTCCCCGTCCAGTCTCAATGTCTACAACTTAACTCTCCCATTACGTTACCAGGCGTAACTTGGAGTGTAGTCACCGCCTCTCTCTCCATCATCCTCCTTCCTTGTTGAGACGACATCCTCTTTCTTACCCCCTCCCCTCAAGAAAAAAAAAAAAAGAAATCACTTAATCTGGGATTTTGTCTTAGAATGAAAGTGTCCCCAACAATGGATTGCGAGAATATAACTGACCTGGAAAAAGCCAAATTTTTATTTTAAAAAAATATTCACGAGGAGGACCCAATGCATTCGACAGAAAAACCATGATGCGGGTCCCTGAGTAGTTTTTGGCAAATGATCTTCCATTGACGACCGATCGGAACCCACAGTCAGTTGGCTCTTTAACGGTCCCGCATCGTGAAAGCTCCCATTTCAGAAGCTGCAGCTTTGAGGGGAGGGGGCAAAAACGACCGTTGAGTGCAATGATCCATTCACCCGGTTTAGGGACTCGATTCCTCTCTTCAGTGTGTGCCTACCTACATTTAGATGAATAAAAATTCCAAAGTATCTTGTCAACGAGGAATAGGAGGATCACTTGCAAAAGTAGACTATGCAACTTGTAAACATATGGAATTCATTTAATTAATACGATCTCTATAATTAGTCCGGTGCAGCAAATGAATCCGATTGAAAACATGAAATTTTTTGGATCTATACCATTTTTTTCCCTTGTGGCAGCCCTCCGTAAGCAAAAATAATGGTGAATGAAAAAGAAAATTCGAGACCCTATTCACCCCTTGCCACTTCTAATATTTTAAATGTACGTGGCCAATACTCTTATGAAACTACCTTTTACTTGAAATGCACATAGTTTTTCTCCAGACAAGTCCTGTTTGAAAGCCACTTACAAGACAATCTAAAAGATTTGGCCCATTTCTCTATGCTCCGGTGACTTTGTGTTAGGAATCGCACGTATCATGTAAATAACACTCAAGTACCTATAACAAGATTTGGCAACCCCTATTCTTGTTCTTCAGATCAGCTCTACCTCCGATGGATCACTCATTTAATATTTTATGATCATCAGCTATCTCTTAGGTGAGTGCGTAGAATAACATTGACCAAAAGTTCTCTCGCTTATTTATCCGGTTTCACCCTCAGCATCATTATACTACATAGTTGTAAAATTTGATTAAAGTATTATTCGTGCGTCCTACAATACAGAGACCTGCCAGCTTTTGTGAGTTTTTTACCATGATGTGCTGGATGCAATAAAAAAAAATAATCGAAATCTACGAAACTATTTTGAAATGGTGAGGTTTGTTTCACTATTCATGCAAGCCTCGTTAACCATCAAAGTTCATTAAAATTTATTATCATCATTCAATCAAAATTCGTAAAAAAGCTGTGAATTATGTTTTTGCATGCCTGTACACATTTTAATTGCACGTACCTACTTTACCAATACCGGCCAAATTAATTTTTATACACAAAGGTACTTGTTTTGACTGAAGTTGACGAACCATGTAAAGGGGTTAAAATAAACTAAAAATTGTCTTGGCGTGCTTAGTTCAGGCCTGAATTTTACGCTGTTGCCATATTTGTTCATTTTCATTATACTTAATGAGTCCATCATATTTTTAGTGAAACAATGAGTGATTATATTAACTTGAAAATGATACATACTTTAAGATGAAATTCTGTCACCGTGCTCCATTTGAAACATTTTTAGTGATAAGTGGCTCGTTTTGAATGAATGATCTATCTTTGACCATTCCTATTTTGTGCGGGACATTTTTATACTGTTATTTTGTAAATAATAATAATTTATTTATTTAAATTAATTTATTGATTAGTGATTAAGTTTTTTTGTCATAGAGTGATTTCCATGCTCCTCTTAATGTAGGATTAGTTGCAAATTAGCTCAATTTTTTTAAAATGTTTGGCAAAGTTGTTCAAAGTTCCACAATAGGAAAACAAAAATCAAAAACAGAAAATTTTAAAATTTTGGATATTTGCTAGTTCCTGAAGTGAAAGATGAGTATCACTGGAAAATTGTTAGAGAAATAAGCGTGCATGATTCTTCGAATGTACTTACGACCTATACATTTTTTCAGAAGTGTCCTTGGAGCAGCTGTAAACCCTACCTCCAGTTTTAAAACCTCAATAATCAAATAAATGACGGATGAAAAACTAATTGTTCAACTGTTTTACATTTAAACACATTTACCTGTCTATCTTATTCCGAAACATAACAACTGAATCATGATTTACTCAAAGGTGAAATAAGAGCACCGGGTTTGCAATATAAATGAATTCGCAGGTACTGAGTTATTCCGTTCTAAAAACTTAGTAGCCTTTTAGCCTCACGCCAAAGAGTCCTTTAATATGATCTTTGCCCTCATTATCCAATATCAAATGTCAAATCAAATCAATATCAAAAAGTGTCAAATGCCCTAATTTCGGATAGTAGATCCCGTTAATAAGTTAAAGTGCATTATGAATAAGTATTCGAATCAATTTTTGATGATAAAATTTAGCATTGTGTCACTGTAATGTGTAAATCTCTCTTTTGGCCCAAGTATTACGCTACTATCCGGGAATGTGCTTACCCACTGAGCTCTGTCGAAGCAAACGAGGTAGCCATAGGGAGATATGGTCACCTCCGTAATGTGGAGACATTAGGAAACGACATTTTCTCTATTGGTGAAGGAACCAAGGGAAGGAGAGCTTTCTTTCAACATTAAATCAGCTTTCGTCTCCTGCCAGGGATGATGTTAGGAGTCTAATCTGTATTTAGTTGTGCTTGATTTACTTTCCTGCAGTGCTTATAGACATTCCTTCCCCTTCCTACATGCTTATCTATTCATTTACTTACTATAAATGTAAAGCAGAAAATATGACTTCTTATGCTGCTACCACCAGTACCAGGGCCGGATTAAGGGGGTGGTCACATGGGCCGCGGCCCATGGCGGCAAATCTAAAGGGGGCGGCAAATTTTGCAATTTTTCTAAATGTAGGTATAAGAAAAATTCGGATTTAGAAAAAAAATTACAAACGAGAAAAGGCGACAAAATCTCTAATTTTCTGAGAGAATAGTAATTTCTACTTTTGTCGTCTTCCAGTGATACAAGAGACAGAACCTTCAATTAGTCGAGTTAAGAGAGAAACCAAACACGCAATTTGGCCTGGAACGGCGCGACTCACCTAAAGAGAAATGATGACGAGGACTTGAGATGAAAAGGAGAAGCCCTCGGCGCGGCGATCGGCATGTAACACATATTAGCGCCTACAAGACTGCACGAATACTTCACACATTGCATCAAACACAGTGCGGTCCTACAAGAATGCATGAATACCTCACGCATTGCGGCAAACACAGTGCGATCAGCGTGAGACGCATAGCGCCTACAAGACTGCGTGAATACTTCACGCATTGCTTAAAACAGAGTGCGGTCTTCGAGGCGTGGCGGCGGAAGTTAAAATCATTCATCACATTTATGTTTGTTCTTTCATGATTTTTTCGTTCATTTTTTATGAATGAAAGGCCTTGTCCACACAGAGATAGGTTTACGAAACTTAACTTTCGCGCAAAGTGCCGTGAACTTTTGCTAGTAGTGTTGACAGGGCTTTCCCAAAAAATGTGTTCAACGCCAGTAAACGCGTCTTATGCACCTTTTCCCTGCTGGCACGTTCATTTGATGGTTTTCATTGATGTTTCAAAACGAATGAAAAGGGGGCGGCAAAACACTCGCGGCCCATGGGCGGCAAGTATAGGTAAATCCGGCCCTGACCAGTACCACTAACAGTACCTTTACTAGTGCTATACATTACTACCTACTTCTACTGTCACTATTACTACTAGTATTAACACTACTACTAAACTACTACCACTACTACTACCACTATTACTACTACTATTACTACAACTACTACTACTACCACCACTACTACCACCACTACTACCACCACTACTACTACTTCTACTACTATATTACTACTACTACTATATTACTACTTCTACTTCTATCGCTATACTACTACTTCTACTACTACTACTACTACTACTACTACTACTACTACTACTACTACTACTACTACTACTACTACTACTACTACTACTACTACTACTACTACTACTACTACTACTACCACCACCACCACCACCACCACCACCACAATATTAATGATAATACTACTGATACTCCTATTCCTGTTAGCACTACCGCCTCTGCTGTTGCTACTGTTAGGTACTCCGTCACTAATACTACTGTTATTCCTCCATTACTACTGCTACTTTCAATACCATTACTATCATCACTATTATTGCTGCTGCGACTGCTTATAGAGATGCTACTACTACTACTCCCCACGATAGCACTCCTCCTCCAACTACTAATAATCCTACCAATACTACCACTACTTTACTACTATTACTAAGTAATGCTGAGGAACGAAATACCTACCGATGATGAGACTTCCAAAGCGCGATTCTTAGTATGCGACGTTGCAGACTTCCTGTCATACTTTATTTTTTAAATTGAGAACTACTAAAAGTCAATTCTTAAACACCGCCCGTAATTTTTCATCTCCGTGCAAGCAAATTTAGAAACAATGTCAAGGAATGGTGTTGATTTGTTCTATTTTTAAAGTATGAAATCGCAGTGGAGACTTTTAAACACTGCAAACGAGATACGTGCTTCGCTGGTTTCACCGTCGAAAACATACCTGCCTCTTTTATTCGAAACCATTCAGTAAGTAACTACTAGTTCCTACTTTTAAATCTGTGACTAAATGCCCAAACTATTCATACATAGCGAGATCATTGGGGAAAATAAGCGGGAAAAAGAGCATAAATCCACTTTTAAAGTGATTCTCAGTATGTGTGATTCTTAAAGTATTTCTCTCTAGTTTTGATTTCAAATGAAATATTTAGAAAATGAAGAACATAAACCAAGCTGAAAAGTATCAAGGTTTGATCGGTCTTCATACTTTGAGGTTGTTCTGCTCTCGTCTCCTTTTTTACGTCGGAAATATGACGTAGCGCTATTTTATCAGCAGGGTACTCAAAATATACTAGGTACTCCAAAATTTCCATATAATGTAAAAAAAAAATATTGCGAAATGGCCGGAATAACGTATATTTTACATGTGCTAGGTCAAATACGTAGTATGAGCACGACCTAAGTAGCACAGATTGCAATAAATTTCAATTACATGATACCGTCAAACTATGGCTGTTCTATTGAAGTGTTGTATATGTTGTTGCCTATTTTCTGATCGAAGGAGCACTTCTTTTTTAAATTCATCACGGTAAAACTGAAATAAGTTGCAACTTTATTTCATTACATTGCAAATTGCCTGTCCTTCAGACGTATGGAACTCATCTTGTTGCTTGTTTAAAATCGGCACTTGATAACTAAATGATGTAAAAATGCGATTTCATTATTTATAAAAAGGGGGGCAGAAAACAATTACAATTTGCATTAATTGCAGTCTAACTGTCCTACTTGGAGGCTATCTGAAATTCTTTTGAAGAAGATTCCAGTTTTTATTCTCTTCTTTTTCCAAGTGCGCTATAGCATATACCTACTTACTAAGTTTACAATGGCACGCGTGCTAGTAGGCACATCCACTTACGAAAACAAAGAGAAAAGGGGGGTATTCAAGGTGGACCTGGACCTATTTCATGTTTTCAACATCAAATGAAAGTACTCGATTGCCTCTAACAACCAGTCCACAAGCAATGAAAAGAAGCATTGTTCCAAAACATTGGAGGAATGACCGACCCACGATGAACCTATGAATTTCAACGCTAATGTTTACTGAATAACTTGTTGTTAGCTGGATGAGTACTTACTACGTAAGTACTTACTAAGTACCCACTTACTTCACATTGATGTACCTAGATATTCGGGCTGCTCTCGCAAACTATTCTCAATCGCAAAAAAGCGTCTGTCAAAATGCTGAGAAAACGAATAAAAACTCCGACTTTAACTATATGTAATACAAATAAAGTAATCCAAATCGAAATTTGTATTGTCACTTAAAATTTGATCCTAGTGCCTCCTTGAGCAGATGTTTCCTTAAAAATTTTAGATATTCGAATATTTTCTTTGTCTTTATAATTAATGCGAGTCCTTGGCTAACCATAGTATATGATAGTCATGGAGCGATTTCTCTTTATTTTTTTCCTTGTTTTGTACATACATTCATAATTTATTTACAACTAATCGCCTCTCTTTCCTTCTTTAAAATGAAGACTCGCCGCTCTCTTCATGATTTGTTAAAAAGCTGTAATTAAATTAATTATTTTAGGTATTTATTTTTTTATTCATCAAATTTTTCTATTCAATAAATCATTGCAAAAATTTTCAAAATATGCCATTAAGTTGTTAATGCCCTATTCTCTCGTGAAATTTATCTAGACCCCTTTTTACGAGAGATTGAACGGAGACATAAGTGCCCTGGTAAAAATTGGCAGTAGAATCTGTGTTCCAAAATACCATAGACCTACAACCGGCTGTAAGATTTCCAATAGCTTCTATAGCCGGCAACACAATTTCTTATAGCCTTTTATAGCCGATGGCGTCTAAGCAACAGCCTGGCGATAAAGTGCGTATGCTAGACGTTACTAATTACGGATGCTAGGACGACTTAGTGAGTTATTGGACTACCGCTCTCTTTTTGGGCAGTAGTATCTTGATTTATTTTGCGAGGAAAGCTCCGTACTTTTGAAGGATGCCTGCCATTCCTAACATGTTGGAGCGCCTGCAATTTCGAATGATACTGTGCAATACCTCTGGTGTGAAATAGTTGCTTCAAGCGCCGTGGCACGCTGCGGTGCGACAGGCGGGCAGCCAGCGCGAAACGCGCATTGGCGCCTACAAACCTAACAGGGATACTTCACGCATTGCGCAATGCGTGAAGTATCCCTGTTAGGTTTGTAGGCGCCAGTGCGCCGCCGCTCCGCTTTGTGTTAGGCTCTAATATTCAATCTCATGGAGTCAGCGTTTTCCAACTCATGACTTTGAAATGTTTGCACACTCTGTATGGATTATTCTCATTTTAGTTGATGAAAAAAAAATATGTAGCAGAGGAAAAGATAATGTGCGTTTTGTAAATATTATGGTGATTCCGTACAAACTTAAGGATTTACAAAGCACACAAATTTCTACACAATTTCTCATAGCCTTT